AATGTAAGCAGTAACCAGTGCTGACCAAGTTGGACAAAACCTACTGGGTCTATAGTGCCAATGCCAGCCTACTTGACATCCCACTATTCAACGTGCCAGTTTATTGAGCCATGAAAACTTCTAGTCCATGTCAGGCTTCATTTGAGGACAACTCAGATTATAATCCAATTTATTCAGCAATCCTGACCTCAGTGTAAAAATGACCATTCATAAAACAAGAGGCAAAATTTATCTCCAGTAAAAGTTGGCCTTCAAATAACTACAATGTAACTGAAGTTCAATTCCTAGCTCCAGGTTGATGCAAGGTTCATTACTTAAATCCTGCGCTGTATTTCAGCATGGGCAGGTCACTCTATCTTTACTCTTGAAATGCAAATACAAACTACCCTTTGCAAATTCTTTTTAAAAAAGACCAACCGGCAATGAAGGAAAGAGAGCTCAAGAAGGGGAGGTAATGGAGTACCGGTAACGTCACTGGGCTAGGATTTCACAACCCCGGGCCCTAAAGTCCTGGACACATAGGTTTAAATCCCACAATGGAAGATAGCAAAATGAGAGTTCAGCCAAACTCTGGGAATTAAAAAAGCTAGCCTAACGGCAATCATGTAACCAATGGCGACAGCCATAAAAGCCTATCTGGTTCAATAATGCTCTTTAGGGAATAAATTCTCCTGTACTAACCAAAAGAAAAATCCAAAAGAACTGCGGATGCTGTAAATCAGGAACAAAAACAGAAGTTGCTGGAAAAGCTCAGCAGCAGTTATGAAGAAAAAACTGAAATGTTAACTCTGACTTTTTCTTCACAGATGCTGCCAGACCTGCTGAGCTTTTCCAGCAACTTCTGTTTTTGTTCCTGATCTAACCAACGTGTGACTCCAGACCGACAGCAATATGATTGACTCTTAACTACTCTCTAAATTGGTCCAGCAAGCCAGTCAGTTCCTAGGCAATAAATGCTGACCTAGCCAAAGATGCCCCCATCCCAGGAACTTTTTGTTAAAGTGAACTTACACAGCATCTTTCACTGAATAAAACATCTCAACATGCATCCAATAGACATTCTAAAACAAACCATGACACCTAAGCCATGCAGGGAGCTATTAAGGCAAATAGCCAAAGGCTTGGTCAAACACATAGGTTTAAAAAGAAAATAAGGTAGAGAGCCAAACAGGTTTGGAATGGGAATTCCAGAACTTAAAACCTAGGCAGACTGAAGCCCAGTCATCAATGTTCAAGTGATTTAAATTAGAACGAAGTACAGTTAGGTTTTAGGACAGGAAGATTAGATAGGATTAGATAGGAAGACAGACCAAGCCATGGATAGATTTGAAAGCAAGAGTTAGAATCCTTGATTCAGCAGACAGCATTCTGTTCGATTGGCACCAGATCCAACATCTTCAATACTCAATCCTTTCACCACTGACACACAATGGCAGCAGTATGTACTGCTGTAATTCAACAACATTGAGTTAAAAAAATTTCATCTTGGACCTAAGTGGCATCCCCTTTATTTTTAAATTGTGCCATCTGACTCTGGATTCTCCAACCAGGGAAACACCTTAGCTGCACTGACACTGTCTATCCCTTTAGCTACGTTACAAATTTCAAATCTCCCTTTTTGAAATTAGAGAATACAGGCTGTTTCTCAATTTCCCTTCATAGGACAGTTCCACAATCCCGAGAATAAATCTGGTGAACCTTTCTACATCCACACTTTCCAAATACTTACCTTTTAAATTCTGCACAGCTGGTTTCCCTACCAAACTGGATAACCTCACATTTTTCCACATTATCGTTCATTTGCCATGTTCTTGACCATTCACTGTGAAAGTCCTCTTGAAGCTGTTTTACATCTTCCTCATAACACATATTCCCACTTAACTTTGTTTCGTCTGCAAATTTGGAAATATCACATTTGGTCCACACCTCCAAATCAATGATAAATATTGTGAACAGTTGGGGCCACAAGTGCATCTGTCTCCTGTACTTAAATCTTCTTACCAAGTAATTGAAAAACATTCCTGCTCATCCAATATTGGATGTTAGATAAGCAATGACAATTTAGAGACAATGGAGAGAGGTTTACATGGCTGAGTATCGCTGTGTACACTTATAAATTGGCTTGGTTTTGGAAGACCTAACAGTGGGGAAGCATAGAAATGAGGTGGTGGTTTTGGAAAGGGCAGACCAGAGAGAGTGAAGGGATGTTGCTCACTCTTCCAATCAAGATCAAAAATTATCCAAATACTGATGGCATACCAGCTCAAAATGTTAGCTCTGTTTCTCTCTCAACAAATGCTGTCAGACCTGCTGAGTTTCTCTGACATTTTCTGTTTGTTTCAGAAATCAGCCAGGTTAGGAATCAATGGTACAAAAACTGAATTTACTGGTGAAACTCAGCAGGTCTGACAGTGGTAGTAGGAACTGCAGATGCTGGAGAATCCAAGACAACAGTATCTATGTGAGAAAGCAGAGTTAACATTTCAAGTGAATCGGACTCTTCAGAGGAACTAACTGGTAGCAGCTTGCGATAATATTAAAGTGCTTTAGCACAGCAGATTCCAAAATACTGCCTGTTGCACACATCATAACATCACACACAACAAAACAATTTTTGTCTAAAGCATATTTCATATATCATTAAAAATCAAGGTGATTGGAAAAGATTAGCTGAATAGAAAAAGTAACAAATACTGAAGTGCTGAGGACATTAGCAAAACATAATTCAAAAATGGTTCAGAGACTGGTCGAGGCTCATCTTAAGTGAAACTAGTTAGGGTTGAGCTCACTCTGCCATAGTTTTAGCCGCTCATTTCACTTTTAGAAATTAACTATACACAACAGAACACTAATACCATCTCAGATCCCAAACATGATAAATTTCAAGGCACTCTCTCTCAACATTGACTGCAAGATCCTAACCCCAAACTCCAACTTGACAATACCCAACTGCAGTGGTAATAATCAGTAGTGACATTTCAGATAAGTTTACTATACATTCAGTGAAACTGTCAAACAGGTTCTTTTTCTACCAACAATGCGTTCCTCCCCAAGTCAGTCATTCATTCATTCTTTACTGCTGTGGAAAGACGAGATATTTTTCAGCTACATTTGTAGCAGGAAAAACAGATCACAAGAATCCCAAATCAGCCCCTTGCATCACACACAACTGCAAAACACTGTATCGAGTAACCGACTTTTTATTTATGAAGTAAATAGACGAGTGAAACAGCCGGCAGCAGGGTGCAAGTGAAGTAAATTGCAAGGATTCTGTTTGGTTATTTGTTAAAAAAAGACCGTGCATTTAAACTCTTCACCCACCCCGACTACTTTAAGAACAATCTGGTTTAGTATCCAGGGTGGAAGATAGGAGGAGGAAAGGTTGCATCAAATGTAAAGAAAAGGATCCAGATTGCAGCTGATAGCCATAGTGAGTGCTATAAGGCGAAGGACTCTACAGGAAGGGGTTTTAATCTGGAAATTAATAACACGGTGCTAGGGAGGGGAACAAATGCGCCCCGGACCACAGAGTAGTATCGCTAGCGCTCCGGGGAACTGCATAGGATCGGGATGCCTCTCTCCTGGGGAGTGGGGGAGGGAGTACGGGTAAGAGCGCCCCGGGGTAAGTCATCCTATGTCAACAAGGTCTTCTGCTCCCTCCCGGCCACGGTTTTCCTTCCAAATCAAGGCCGGTGATGCCAGTGAGGCCTAGTCCACGATCTTCGCTCCTTCCGTTCACATCACCTCTAGACTTTAATATTTGAAAAAAATACCGTCCTCCATGAGGGATAAATCCTGCACCTTTACCTCATCTTACAGCAGCCCCGATCCAGGAATCGCAGCTCTGATCCTTGGCGACATAGCAAGCCGCCACCAGCCGCGGGCCTACAGCTGCTGGACGGGAGAGGAGGGGCCCACAGGGCTCGGCGACACTGCGCAGGCGTCAGTGTGCGGGCTCCGGCTCGGCGATGGTGCGCAGGCGCCAGTGTGCGGTCTCCGGCTCGGCGATGGTGCGCAGGCGCCAGTGTGCGAGCTCCG